GTGAGAGCGCATCCCTATTTGTATTTCCGGCCCCCCCCCCCCCGAGTCCGTGCAGACTAACGGGAACRCTCTGCTGGCCCCAAAATGGGGGACAACGAATGAAGGCACTGTGGTTCATAACAGCCTCTCTTGCTGTTATAGCCTTGACCTCCCGGGAGTCACAGGCTAACTCCTCATTGTGCTGCTGAAAGCAGAAYGGAGACAAAGCCTATCTGGTGTCTTCTGTTTTTTGGCTTGTGTTATAAACACAAGTATGATAGTGTTGGCTTTCGGAGATTATTAGCTGATACAACTGGCCATATAAATTCCAAGCATGTGCTTTCACAGGGAGGAACAGTCTTCACCCCTGCATACCCTAGACACATCCTCTGTTACAAGTACAACTTTAGGTTTGGGGTTTTTTTTTTTTTTTTTTCTTTAATTAATTTATTTTTTTCCAGCCCATTGTCTTCACAGATCTAGCACTCCAAATTTAGCAACATCTATTTGAACCATCTTCAGTGGATTTAATGTCACCTAATTTGGGGCATCTGCATCTAAACACTCACCTCAGAGTCCTCTTACAGTGTACGGAGAAAAGCAAATGCTTTGGTATGTCATCCATCCTATAGATCTGATTTGTATGAGCTGAATCATCCAAGGAATGATCATTATATATCATCAGATAGGATGACAACAGAGTGAAACATCACTATGATGGTCATCACTGGGATCAAGTCAGCACTGGTGTGTGGAAGTCTAAACCTGAATTGAATGCCAGGCAGGTGCCTGTGCTGCTCTTCCAGGCACACTCAGGAGATGCTGCTTAATTTTTTCCTGCAGGGCACTGTGATCTAGCTGTGTATCAAAACAAGTGGGATGACTGTTCCAGGTCCTGGATTTTARCCACAGCTTCCTAGCTGGCATTTAAGCCTGGGTGGACTCTGGTTTGTTAGTCAGTGCTCAGGTTGCTTAGTCTGCCAGGCCAGACAGACAAAGCTTGATGAATAAATAGCTCTTGAAAAAGCACAACTTTTCATCTACTTGGGGAASTCAAAAATTTAAAATATCATAAGAAGAAGGGAAAATTTAAAGATTGTGTGAAAAAAAGTATTCAGCAAACACCACTAGATGGGACTGTAGTWGAACCAATTTCTACCACAAAGTGACTTCGGCCTCTGCAGAGCTGGTCCTTGCTGAGATACAGGGCCACAATGTCACCCATTTTTRTTGACAGCATGAAATGGAATAAATCTGTCTCAAAATTACAAAATCTGCCTGKTGACTTTCCCATGGGATACCCATGGTTTCCCACCAAGTAGCCACTCTGTCTGTTCTACCAAGGGAAGAAAATGCTTCTGTTCAACCATCTCCATGGTCTCTGTGTGTGAGTGTCAYACAGAGGCTTTAGTTCAGAGGACAGGACACAGCAGAAGGCAAATCTCTGTTCTTGGTGCCAGGAGGCTTTCCCAGGACAGCCAAAGCTCTCATGAATTATACCTAGCCAATGACACCAAGGACAACAAGAAAAGCTTCTTTAGGTGTGTTGGTGATAAGAGGTAGACAAGGGATGAAGTGGGCTGTCTTTGGAAAGATATGGGAGACTGGTTACCTGGGACATGGAGAAGGCTGAAGAACAGTTTATTTCACCATCTGCCAGTGTGGAGGGGTTTTGGGTTTTTTGTTTTTTGTTTTTTTTTTKTTTTTTTTTTTTAACACTGACTATAATGCAGCRTTTTCCACATTTTCTTGGTGGTTCCCATAATTTTCTGAAACACAGCTCACTATYGGATCTTTATTTATTTTGATGGTTTTGTTTCATGTGTGTCTGAATGCCCCAGCAAAAAGATAGCCTGCCTTAACATTAAGACCTGCCTTAACCTTCCTTCATGCCTGAGACATTRAAGATTCTTCAAAAAATATTATGTCTCTATATTGATATTAATATTTAGAGTTTCTTTTGTCTTGCCAGGTTTGTGCAAGGATGATGTGATAGGAAAGGGGCATTCAACATGGAGGAAAACGGTGCGAGAATGCATGTGAAGATGTAAAGGCTGCTCAGAGACTCTGTAAATTSACCTGTATTTAGTTTGTGGGCTGCAATGAAGAGAGAACTTTCATTCCCAAGCCAGCTGGTGCTGATGGCTTCTTATTCATGTTGCAAGGGTAGATGGTGGCTGTTGAAGTTCAGAACATGGCATCACCTGCAGTAGGGGTTTTCTGTTTGCAAACCCTGTTCCTTGGAATTTTTCAAAGATCCTGATCTATCACATGAACTTCTAGCAGTTTCCCAGAGCCTAAAGGGGGTCCAAGAGAGCTGGAGAGGGACTTGGGACAAGGGCCTGGAGGGACAGAGAAAAGGGGAATAGCTTCCCACTGGCAGAAGGCAAGAAATTCTTCCCTGTGATGGGGTGAGGCCCTGGCACAGGGTGCCCAGAGAGGCTGTGGCTGTCCCATCCCTGGGAATGTTCCAGGCCAGTTTGGACAGGGCTTAGAGCARTCTGGTCTATTGGAAGGAGTCYCTGCCCATGGAAGGGGGGTGGAATGAGATGGGCTTTAAGRTTCCTSTGAACCCAGACARTTTTAGGATTCTGTGTTTGTTGCTTCTCTTATGATGAAACTCAGAAAGTGTGCTGGAATCTTTGGGGCTGTTGTTACACAGAGAAGATGAAGGGCAAAGCTGATCTGACAAATCAGGCGCAACAGCCACTGCAGTYTGGTCTAAGGAGACAGCTCTGCACAAATGTCAGCAGACAGCTGGGGTGGAACCACTTTGGTRGCATTCTGCATTGTGGATATGCGTGGACCTGGAGAATCCTTTTATAGGCCATAGAAAGACATTGTCACTTCTTGGGTGTGAATCAGCTCATCCTTAAGTAATATCTGAAATCATCTGCTCTATCACTGCACTCGATGTATTTGCTTTAAATTGCACCATGGGTTAAGTCTCAGATTAAGCTATTTGAGCTCCCTGCAGGGACGCACACTGGAGCAGGAGGGGGA